GGCAGCGCGCCCGCACCGCGGCAGCTGAGGGGAAGGCAGGGCTGCCAGCAGACACCCGTTTTGAGGAACTCCGTTGCGGAATAGCTTCCCGTTCCTCTTTTCATTCGCCAAAAGGTGCGTTTTTCTTTAAAAAATGCAAATTAAAATAGTAATATGGCTTATCAGAGCAGAACGATCATTTCCCACCCAGACGGTGATGACATTTGACAGACACCTAGTGGTCCTTACCTAGCAGATCTGGCCCAGGCCTGCAACAATAATTATTAGTACGGCTCAGGCGTTAGAACACATCCCGAATTCATCGATCGTTTCTGACCTCTTGGCCACAGCGTACCTATAGTGGCTTACAGGAAGGGATGCCGCTGGTTTGGTCAGGTCAAAGGAGAGCACGTGACAGAGGGAGACGAGGACTTGGGGCCGGGCTGTTTTGGGCTGCGCTTCTGCCCCGTGTCACCCCGCAGGGGACGTGGCAGGAGCAGGACCCCCCGGCACGGCTCTCCCGGCCCCACTGCGCTGCCCGAGCGGGGCCATGCAGCCCACCCCGGAGCCCGCGGCCGCAGAGATGCTCTGAGAAGCCGGAGCAAAAAAAACCTGGGTGAGCTTCTGAAAACGCTTAGGAAGACTCTGACAAAACAGGTCGATCAGAGGTTTAGATGACGTTTGCAGCACTGATACAACCCCCGTTTTGAATATACCAACTGCATCCGCTGAAGATGCTTTTATTTCTTATCTGGATTAGCGCTAATTCGCAAGGACCAACTATAAGGAGGTATTTACATAACTTTCAGTCCAGCGTGGATAAAGAGGTCCAAACCATTTACTTGGCTCAGCCTCCGCCGATAAAACAATGACCTCCTTTTTATCCCCAGTCTGATACTCCTACTATGAGAAACCGCCAAGCCGCCGAGCTGTAGCGCCGGCTGCATTTACAGAGGGTTTCACACAACGCGGAGGAGTCGAGCCTTTTACCAACATAAAGTTTCAACTCCACCGGTCTCCAAATCAGCGTTCAAAAAAATCACGGCGCGGCAGCTGGGAGGGAACCTGACACGGCAAGGCTCCCCGCACCGCGCCACGCGCCCCTCTGCAAGGGTGCCAAAATCAAAAAGAGGGAGGGAAACCCCAAGAGAACCCAGCGTACATCCAAGCTGCGAGACCGTGCGTTGGAGGAATGGCTACAGCACAGCGACTATACAATGCGACATGGCCAAGATGCAGAAATCAGCGTGGAACCAGTATCTAGCGTAGAAGAGCAGCGGTTTACCTACGGACTACCCTTACCTGAGAGATCCCCATAGTCCAGCTCCTCTGCGGAATTGGGCAACTGAGTAAAGCCTTACAAGTAAAAACAAACTCGTTTTTCTCTGTGTTTCTCCAGTGACAAAAAAAACAACACACTTAACAACTGAGGACGAATTTGGGGGGGGGGGGGGGGCGTCAATCACTTGCCATCCTCTGCCGGTTTGGGCAGAGTAACTCGTATGACAGAATTGCAATAATTTCCTTTATTACAGACAGAAACATTCCTCAGTCTACACTGTTGGCACACAAAACATGGACTCAAAGTCACTCATTCATAACAGCATGCAAAGACCCCCAAACTCTGTCTTTTAGACATCGGGGGGGGGGGGAATTTCCCAATTTAGGCCAGTTCGAATTAGGTTTTGTATACACAGAGCAATGTAAAATTTTCTTCCAATTCAATCTTTTCTTTGGTGAATGTTGACAGGCCTGGCAACGTTACCAATTAGCGAATATTGGGGATGGCATTTCAGTACCGTGAGGCATCTGCGCGTGCAGACCGCAGGCTCTATCTTCTGCAAAACCAGCTGACAAACCCGCTCTCTTTAATTTCCCAAATTTGATGCGTTTACGGAAAAAAGTATCTGTCCTCAAAGCTGATAAAGCAGTCAGGTGAGACACGCTCTGGTGACCACAAAAGGCAGCTGACGCTGCCTGCAAAGCCGTTATTTTCTGTTTGGTTTGAGAATTGGAGAAAACGTTTGGGGGTGCGCGGGGGGACGGAGCGTGCAGCTGAGGGAGCCCCTCTGCGCCGAGGCTCCTCCGCGCCGCTCGCGGGGCAAACCCGGGGCTGGAGCTCACCGAGACCTACCGAAACCAGGGAAAGCCCAGCGCCCCTAACGAAGGCTGGCGCTTGTGAGGACCTGCTCTCGCTGCCGGCGGCTAAAGCTCCAGCGGCACATCAAAGAAAAAAATATTTCCCCTGGAGAGACACCACCGCCACTGGTCGCTGGGAAAGCTGGTGGCTTCATTAAAAATAAAACGCCTTTACAGTGACGATGTTTGAAATACATCAAGTCACCTGGAAGCCCTGGTCGGAACGATCTCCTAAAGCGGGAAGCCGTTCAGATTGATGGCAAGAATTTTGTTTGCGCGCCGCTCTTGGATTTCAGGGAGGCTCCTCTTTTTCACTATAATACAATTTATAAATATAATTACAGTTGACTCACAGAAGCATTGGACATGCAAATCCGGGCTCTGCAGAGGAGCCATTCAACTTTTATCTCTCCAAAATTGCTTCTGTAGAGTCTTCCCTTTCACTTAAAAGGAACTACATTTTCTCAATAATGAAAAAGGGCAACGTTGCATTTTTTATGAAGCCAAAAAAAGGCTTTTTCAAAAGAAAATGTAACAATTCAACAATTCCGTTTCTGCCTGCACCTGCTATACTTAAAAATGCCACCGAACAGCCTTAAAACCTGTTGTGAGGCATTTTCAACATGCGGTAAATTACTTCTTGATTTTTCTCATTAAACTTTCATACCGGCTATTAGAGCCCCTTCCTCTCGCTTCTGATGAGAATGGATTCCCAGCCTGCCGCGGCTCCTGGTCCCCGCAGGACAGCCGGCGCGGCGCTCGGCCGCCGTCTCCCCGTGCCGCGGGCACAGCGGCTCCGCAGCCTCACCGGGCGCCGGGACAGGGACCCGAGCGCAGCGGGTACGGAGGGGTTCCCGTCGGCAGAGCGCTGCCTTGGGCTGCTTCCTCAGCTACCTCCAGTTTTTAAGGAAAAGACAATTTCTCTTTCGGATCAAGCTGTAAATAAGCCATTAGGGATTCTGTTCTATGCTGCGCATTCCGGGGCGCCGCACGGAACCCGTAGCATGCGCAGAGAGCTTTGTGATGTTTTATTCAATCGCCCCAAGGACTGGAGCCGTAAAATATCTTTAGGAATGTATTTACTATTAGCTGTGCTTTTAAGAAGGGCGTTTTCCAAAGGGAAGGCGGTCGGACAGGCAGAGCCGCTTGATAACGTTAATGCAGAAAGCACCGAGGCTTTTTCCTCGCGTGGCGCTGCGCTTGGCGAGGTCTGCGAGGCGACGAGCGCTCTGCCACGGCCCGGTTTTGGCTTCGGACAAGTAAAACTCATTCCCTGAGACTGAGCGCTATCGGAAAAAGCAACAAGAGCTTAACGCAGCAGTGTTGAATGTTCTTGTACAAAACCCTGCTAAGGCCGCAATTAAAAATTCATACGGGCCTTCGGGGAAGAATTTGCAGCTTATAAAATAATTTACCTGCTATATTATGGGCAAGGTATTTCCTTGTCACTCTTCATTCACGATTGGGCTGTTTTCGCGATTTTAACCTTCGCTCCAGACTTCCTGCTTTGCCAGCTTCAGAAGAGATTTTTTTCGCCCTACCTTTTCACGAGGACGAGCAGAAGCGCTGCCTGTGCTGCGGCAGCAGCGCCGTCTCTCAGCCTCGGGGCGGGGGGGAGGG